AAAAAAAATACTGCTAGTCTTTCTCTCTGGTCTGGAATTGACTGGAACGCATAAAAAATGCATGCAAATGCACTGGACTGCACATGTAAGCCCATTTTAAGCTAAAAAAAAAACTACAAAACGGTGTCAAACTGCACTGTGTTTGCAGATCTGGTCTGGATATGGTATGAACATAGCCTCAATCTTTCTTTATCTCAGCGAGTCTAATCAGCCCTACTCATGCTCATCTTCGAATACAATACAATTAGTTTCTATATTGTAAAGGTGAAAGACTGGGAGGAAATATCTAATTTAACGAGAGGCAGCTGGGCAGGGCTGACACCATTTCTTGTTTCAGTCCAGAAAAGACACACTGTTACCTACAACAGGACATCAGTAGGAGAAACCATTTGATAGATTCTCTACTTGTGGAGCCTTTAAAAAGTATAAATACCTGGGTAAATGTGTTTGTATTACAACAAAATACTGCAGTGCCAAGGGAGTATGGAGATGGCTTCCTTTCCAATCAATTCTAATTGGCTAGGAAACGGGCTTCACTTGTTACTAGGCTTCACTTGTTACTAGGCAGCCTGGCTTCTTGTCCAATTACGAAGCCTGACGTCACCTCATGACTGGTCAGGCAGCCTCGGCAAGTAATGCCGGTGTTCTTTTGATAGAACATCGGCTACCCAGGCAATCGGGAAGCTGGGCAGCGAGTTTATAGATAGATAGATAGAGATAGATAGATAGAGATAGATATAATCAGAACAGAATTGGACTATGTATTGCTATCCTAATTTCTATTACAAAACCTTTTTGTGTAATCCAAATTTATTGCACTAAACACAGGTACTTTTTCACAAGCTATTGATTAAAGCAGAACTCTAGGCTAACAGCTAATTGTATAGCTGAAATAGTAAATGAAGTTGTGATTTTAGTTAGAATTGCTGCTCATGTAATTATATTTATTTTATATTCTGATGTCAAACTTGCCATTTTAGCAGCTGATTAGGGAAACTTCCTGCAAAGCTATGTCACTTGAAATACTGGGATTAGGATGGTGGAGTGCTGGACTCTAAGCTTAGAGGAGTTTTTCAAATCGCATATTACTGAAAGCTGGCAGTTCTCTGTTGCCCAGTGGAGCCCCATCAGGTTTACTTGGAAATTGAACTTCTATGGAATGAAAGAATGTGAGCATCAAGCCCCAGGGATCGGTCCAGATACAAATATTTGTTTATTTTTTTGTTTTGTTCAGGGCTTTGTAAACTTGTTTGCTTGCTCAGGAAGTTGTCTGGAAGCAAGCCACAGCTCACAAAGTCCTGATAAAGGGGGATTTTGGCATAACCCCCAAATAAAATTAGCTGTCAACTCTCTTGATGAGACCATTTGATATTTGGACCAATCCCTACAGCCAGGTGTGCTCTCATCCTTTAGATGAGCCTTTCAGTGACTGCTCTTTACAAGGATTCCCACTTCCCATTTCTGTTCTTCCAGCGGGAAGAGGTGACCACAGCTGGCTCTAGAGAGGTAGAGCCAGCTGTCAGTTAGGCAGCTTGGGTGGATACTGACAATTTTGTCGGGATCCTTTCCAGCTACGGCACAGCTGTACGCTGTCGACAGACAGGGCTGACTTTTACTTCTCTTTTAACTCCATACAACATCTAAAATCAGTAATTTTAAGTAATATGAATGAGTTAAAAGAGAAGTAAAGCCAAGGCAGGCCTTACATTATTATTATTTTTTTCCTTGTGGCAATATTGGAATATTTTAGTAAAATGCACACCCTGCACCTCACGTAAGGGGAAAGTACTGAAGTAGTGCCATGTTTTGTAAACCACAGCATTGCATTTTTCTAGTAATATTTCAAGTCTGTTGCCATGTAACTAGCTTGATGTAATGCTACTCACAATAAGGTTTTACTGTTCTTCACATAATGCAGAGTATTTATATTGCAAAAATTGGTTCCGTCACAAAACCGAAACATTGGATAGCCAGCACATGTCCCACTATCTTTTCTTGTCCCCTCAGGGAGGATAAACAAGGCAATTGAGCCTGTTTAGAAGTGCTAGGTGTAAAGGTGCCTCTTTGCAGAACTTGCAAGATGCAGTATGAATTGGTCACTGCCAACTTCTGCTTGTTTCAATCACCTACCAGCAGTGTGCAATACACAGTGGGCAGGACTTGTGTTAGAAAAGTAGAGCGAGTGCTAAAATTATTGTTTTTGTTTGTTGCTAATCGGCCAACATCTTCCAAATGTCCTTTCTGCAGTCAAAATAAACATCCTTGTTTTATTTGATTGCTTTGGACAGCATGATGTTGTTTTTTTTTTGTTTAGCACACTTGTTTGTGTAAAAGCCCTCTTCTCTTGTAATTAAACAGAGAAAGACACTGATTTGGTGCTGTGCACATGTGAAGGCTAGTGAGGTGGGGTTCAGTTATCCTAATTGGAAGTCTCCTATGCCCTCTCTCTTTGGCAATTAATGGCACCCCTTCATGCAAGAAGTGCATGAGCTGACACAGTGGAGTACAGTGGTAATGGATGGTACTGTACAGGACAGATAATATTCTATAACTAAGGCCTGAGCGACACAGACTACTTTGTAGTTGGCTAAACTAAAGAAACAAATGCTGCTCTTTGTAGCATGTTACAATCTAGCTCTTGCTTTTCATGTAAATACATATGTTGAATTTTGCAACAATGTAGTAAGTGTCATTCATGCCTTATTTCCATATTTAAAGATTTCTAAAACTCCTTATACTTGGCTCCGAAGAACAATATCGCCATAGCTGTGATTTATCAACTTTATTGCACAGGAAAGCAGTACAATCAGGGACACAAAGATAATGTACCAGATCCTCACATCTTGATTCATAAAATCCTTCCCTGCTTCTCAGTGGTAGCACCATGCCAATATAAAGCGGGCCACTGACCACTTCTTAGGTGGGGGCCACTTCTTAGATGGGGGCTTTTTTTAAGTGGACAATTATTGTAGCAGCATGATAATTCAGTGCATTTGTTTGCATAACTGTCGCAGTTGCCTGTCCTGGATGGAAGTCATGGGGATTGCAAACACACACAAAAACTGGCAGCTGAAAATGCCTCAACAGCTGCTGGTGATTTTGTTAACTTGCTTGACAAATCATTCTGATAGTGCGTCTCTTCCGGCTGTCTGTTTAGACAGTCATGTGCCTATCAACAAATTATGAAGTGAACTTTTTTCGAAGCATTTTGTTGGTTATAGTGTCATGTTTGATTTGGCACAGATGGTAAATCAATGCAGCAAAACCATCTTAGACCAATACACACTCTACACAAGCTTAGCTGTACACAGACCGGCATAAGTAAACACAGTATTCTGACTGACGCAGCAGCATTGAAAAACAATACCAAGAAAAGGACTGACTGCAATATATTAACAGGAAAAGAGATTTGCTGGGAGGTTACATCTGTTAATAGAAAGCAGAGCACCAGGGACTGTGATACTGTTGGTCGAGTAGAACTCCAGGTGACCTTGTAATCTAAGTTCTTACATTTTAAGGGTGATCTAGGACAATTTAATGTCTATTTACTCTCAATTTATACTGCAGTAATTTTCTAGAATCTATTTACTATAACATATGTGCACACATAACTTCCCAATGAACACAAGCCTGTAAACTCCTTGGAACTAAAAATTCCTGGTTTTCAACATTACATATCCATAAGATCTTAACACCGATAACTGACAGCTTTGTCAATTCTGTAATTCACTACAGAGCATCTACGCTACCATAGTAAGTGGCTCATCCAGCAGCAATGCCTTACTGTATAATTACAATGAAGGAAACATTTCTCTCCATAGCAGCAAGTAGAGATGTTTTTTATTCAATGCAGAAAGACAATGAGCAAAGGTATTTTCTATCCCACATCCTGTTGCTAGGATTTTTATCTGCAAAGCTCTGTATTACCCCTTGCCACAAGAAGGGGCCTGCAGCACACACTACAGCACAGTAAATTACAGCCCTCTTTTGATGGCTATGGGAAATATATATATATATATATATA